AGCGAAAAGAACATGAAATTGCTTTCCATTCTCATGCCACTATCCCAACGGTGAAAATTCCTTTGTGCGAGGCTCTTTTTGCTTCTGCAAGTAGAATTGAAGTTCATCAATGTTTCTGCTACTGGTTTGAATGTTAGAAAATGTAGAAAAAAATATTAAAACTATCAAGGCCTTCTTGTTCATCTACAGTAGCAGAAGTGGTACGGTGCATAGTGGGATTAACATTGCCTACATTAAGAGCAACATCATCAATTATATTTGCATAATAATTATATAATTGTTGTAAAGATTCACTTAGCTTGTTCATACAAGCATATAAATCTAGCGTTTCAGTTGGTCCAATCTCCATATAAGTATATAAAGCATTCGTTAATTGGTGACAATCAGACATCTTAATAGAAGGATTTAAAACAACACCAATTAAGTAAATCGGAGGAATTGGAAAGAAATATTTTTTGAATTTTGCTTGCATTTCTTCAACAACATCCCTATATTTTTCTTTCTTCTTAAATTCAAAGAGTAGAAAAGAAATTTCAGCTATATATACTGAAGCCATAGTAACAGTAGGGTAATATGCTCTAGAAAACTCAACAGTAGCTGTATAAAATTTATGTAAAAATTTAACAACATCATTAATGACCTCCCAAGTAGTAGATGTTAACATACAGTTTGGATTAGTACAATGCGCATTAGCAACTTCAGTTATTGGGAATCTATATTTGTAGCAATATTTTAAAAATATTTATGTATAATTTCATCTAGTAACAATTTTGTCTGGCATAAATCTGGGTTTAAGGTTATACTGGATACACTTATTCTTAAATTTCTTTATTCTAGATTGTCTATTATTTCCTTGAATAACACCAATTGCTCTTCTAACATGAGTAATCTCAGTTGAAAATAAATCAAGGTCACTTTTAACAACTAAATTATAAACATGACATGCACACCTAACATGAAATTTTTCATCAAGAGGTGGTTTCAAATGCAGTTTTAATATTAAAATTGCGACATTATTGTTAGAAGCATTATCAAAAGACATACACAATACTTTTTGCTTGAGATTATAAAATTCAACAACTTCACAAATAGTACTACTTATAAACACATCAGTATGACTCTAATCTTCATCATATTTAAAAGCGATAATACGTTTTTGCATACAAGTAGTATCATCTATCCAATGACATGTAACTGTCAAATAATCATTTCCATTAACAGCATGACCAATATCAGAAGTTAGAGAAACTCTACAAGAAAGGTGGCTAAACAAAGGAAAAGTACCTGGTACTTAAAGCTGATAACAATGACTCAAGTGAGGAAGACAGTGACATGGCTTACCTAACCAAAAGATTTCAGAAGATGGTCAGAAGAAATGGAGAAATGCTAAAAAGGGGCAGCTCCAGCAAACCAAAATACTATGATCTTTGTCCTAAGTGTGGAAAGCCTGGACACTTCATCAAAGACTGTCCTCTCTTGAAGCAAGAGTTCTCTAAGAATAAGTCTGAAAAAATAGCTAAGAGGAACCTGATGCCTTTCAAGGACTTCAAGAAAAAGAGACATGCTTGCAACGTGGTGAAACATGCTCTTGCATTTGATGAGTTTGAAGATGAAACTGATGCTGGTGATAGCTTCATGATGGAAAGTGAAGGTGAGGAAAATGAATATGACTCAACCTTTGCATTGATGGCACAACCAGATGATGATGAAGACGATGACAACAAAGAGGTAAATTTCAGGGATGTTCAGAGAAATCTGAAATCCTATTCTTCAAAAAAACTCATATCTTTAGCTAATGTATTAATCAATACCTTTCATAGTTTTGTGGAGGATAGGGATTCTTTGACCTTAGAGTTAGCAGAATCTGAACAAACTAGAGACGACTTAGTGGTTGTAGTTACTGACCATAAGAAAACCATTGAAATTTTCAGAAAAGAAAAGAATGATCATTTGGCAGAAATTACAGACCTAAGGGAAACAATAGTGAAACCTTGAACTAAGTTAAAACCTGAAAAATCTAGAAAAGGAAAGGAGATAGCCATGACGAACACATTAGGCTTGAAAAGGAGTTGAAAGCTACTAGAACTAGGATATGTGGTGAACTCGAGAAAAATAGGCAGCTTCAAGCTGAATTGAAGAGAGTAAAAAGGGATCTTGAGAAATCTCTCAAGTGGACCTGGTCCTCAGATGGTGTCACTTCCATGTACTTCAACAATAGTGGAAACATGCAGGGAATTGGGTTCCAAAAGGAGAAAACTCCTTACAACCCTCACAGCAAGTACATCACAGTTCCTAATAACTGGTTGTGTACCCACTGTGGGAACAATGGGAACTTAAAAGAAAATTGTCAGGCCAGGGCTCAATCTGTTCAGAAAAACAAAGTGTTTGATGATAAAGTGACTACTAACAGGGGACCAGGTACCGCTCGCAAGAAACCAATATTGCCTGCATGGACTAGAAAAACCCTTATCCATCCCTTTTATCATAACAAGGGACCAAAACTAGTTTGGGTTCCTAAATCTAACCCATAATTTAGATGCGCAGGGAATAGTGGGAGGAAGCGGACTGCAATGGATCATGGACAGTAGATGCTCAAAGCACATGATTGGAAATACTATGGATTTTCTCTCACTGAAAGCCCTGCAAGGAAGGGATGTACCCTTTGGAAAATGGAAAGAAGGGGTATATTCTAGGTATGGGGAAGAAAACAAGGTAGAAGTTCGTGTCTAAGTTAGTGATATGAGCTGCTTGAATGCAGTTGATAATGATTCGAAGACATGGCATAAAGGATTAGGGGGATACAAGTTTCTCACTTCTGGATATATTAATGAAGAAGGACCTGGTTCATGGTCTGTCAAATCCAAAGTTTAATAAACACGGAGCATGCAATTCCTATGGGAATACTGAGCAACAGTGAAAAGAGGTGCATGATCATACCTCTCCTAAACAAAACCCCCTATGAGCAGATCAATGGAATAAAACCAAAGATAACTCATCCGAGAACCCTTGGATGAAAATTCTATGTTCTCAACAATGGGAAGGACTAGCTTGGGAAGTTTGATGCAAAAAGCGATGAAGGAATCCTTCTGGGATACTCCTCTCAAAGCAAAGCCCACAAAGTCTACAACTAAATGGCACACTATGTGGAAGAAAATGTTTATGTGCTATTCAACAAGACGTCCTCCTCTAAAAAGGGAGGAAACAGTGATGATTGAGATAATGAACCACTTTTGGTCCCTGGGAAATATCTGGAGCTTCAAATGGGAAGGCTGATTTGATGAGTAAGATGAAGGAGATAGGTGAGAGACAATGCAACATCCTCTTCTACTTCTCAAGAGGAACCTGGTACTTCTATTACTACCCTTGACCAGAAGAAAGAATTGGAGATGCAGTGCAAGGCACTCCCCAAGTAACTAAACAAGAAGTGCATGGAAATCCATTTAACTTATCCAGTTTCTCTACCAATCAAACTTCAGTCCCAAATTGGAAACACAAAATCTCCCATTCACTTGATAATATAATCACCCTCTTGATTCTAGAGGTCAGACAAGATCAAAAACCAGAAATTCCCTAGCCTTCTCAGCATTTCTATCCCAAATAGAACCCAAAAATATCAAGGAATCCTTGTAGGATGCAGACTGGATTACTGAAATGCAAGAGGAACTGCATCAATTTGAAAGAAACAAGGTATGGCACCTGGTACCTAGACCCTCAGACATAACCATCATAGGGACCAGGTGGGTATTCAGGAATGAGCTGGATGAACATGGAAATGCTACAAGGAACAAAACAAGGCTTGCTCTCCAAGGATTTAATCAGGAGGAAAGGATCGATTATGATGAGACTTTTGGCCCAGTAGCTCGCATGGAAGCTATTAGGATCCACATTGCCTTTGCTTCACATATGGAATTCACCTTATTCCAAATGGATGTGAAGAGTACCTTCTTGAATGATTTTCTCAAGGAAGAAGTCTATATCAAGCTACCTCCAGGTTTTTGAACATCATGTACATCCTAAACATGTATTCAAATTGGATAAGGCATTGTACGTATTGAAGTAGGCCCCTAGAACCTGGTACGAGAGACTATCTAAGTTTCTCTTGGAAAATGGATTCACAAGAGGAAAGATTGATAATACATTGTCTTTGAAGAAATAGGGAAGGAACCTGCTCATTGATCAGTTTTATGTGGATGACATCATATTTGGAGCTATAACTAACTCATTATGTGAAGAATTTGCTAAACTCATGGGAAGTGAGTTTGAAATGAATACGATGGGGGAACTGAATGTCTTCCTGGGTCTTCAAGTGAAGCAGTCCATAAAAGGAACGTGTATCAGTCAAAAATTCATCAAAAAACTCTTGAAAAGGATTGATATGGCAACACGAGAATCATTGGATCTCTACTCTACCTTATTGCCAGCAGGCCAGACATTGTATTCAGTGTGGGATTACATGCAAGGTTCCAATCAGATCCTGAAAACTCTCATCTGAAGGCTGCTAAGAGAATTTTGAGATATTTTAAAGGCACACAAAACCTGGTTCTGTACTATACTTTAGCTGAAGAAGAATATGATGTAGTTGCCTCGTGATGTGCTCATTCACTGTGGATCAAGCAACAGTTGGAAGATTTTGGTGTATACATTGATTGTGTACTACTTCTATGTGTCAGCACCAGTGCTATCAATATGGCAAAGAAACCGGTTCAACACAAGAAACCCAAGCACATTGATGGCAGACACCATTTTCTCAGGGACTATGTGGAAAAGGGGTCTTATTTGTATAAGATTTTGTTGCATGGAAGATCAAAGTGCAGATATCTTCACCAAAGCTCTGAGCAGGGAACACTTTGAGAAACAAGATGGCATTGGGATTACTTGAACCTAATTGAGAACCTGGTTCTGCTGACATGACTATGATAGTCACACTAAGGTAAAATTGGCTAAAGTATTTTCTGACTAGGCCTAACTCACATCTATACCGTTGTAGGTAAATACGCATGATGATTATAGAAGCTAAAGGTACAGTATTGAACTTCGGAGGAGAGCTGCAAAAACCCTTTTACAAAAACAGGTCAGGAACCTGGTTCCTGCACCACAGGTTAGTAGTAATGTGTTTTTCGCATGCTTGTTCAAAAAAAGGATAGCAAAATTAATTCAACTGCCACATCATCCGACTTTTTAGACCAGCAGTTCTAAACCATTGTCTCCCTTTGCATCTTTTTAATTTTTTCTTCAGAACTCTCTACCACTTCACTCACCACGGCCAACGAATAATCGTCTTTTTCTCTTGCCATCAACATCACTCCCACATCTCCTCCCCCCTTAACACCATCACCAGAAACCCACTTCTTCACTATCCCTGATACTACTGTACACATATAGATTTCCTCCTCATCTCCAATCACCTCTACTCTTCTCCAGTCACCTCATCCCTAGTCTCACTTCCATGTGTTGCAAACCCTACTTCTCCTCTGTTCCTGAATCTTAGGGGGAAAAAATAAAGAAGAGGTTGATGAAATAGGGGGAAGCTGTGGCTAATAAACACAGTCCAGTGGTTGAGGTTGATAAAGATGATGTGGAGGAACCTAGGTCCTTAGTGAAAATATCTACAAAAGGGTGTGACTGAGAAAGATTTATTTGAGGGTAACATTGTGGCTGTTACAAGCAGGAATGGGAAGTTTATTAAAATATCTAGAAAACAAAAGTGGGAAACTGTGGAAGGACCTGGTTCAATGAAGACCATTCTAAGTGACAGTGGCCTTGGGCAGGAGAGTTAACTCAGAAAAAGTCTTGTGGGGTCGCACGCTTGCCCGACAAGCTAGGAGATGGCAGGTATGAGACAAGTTCTAGACTTAATCAACTAGTGGAGAAACTGCTTGACTAAAAGTTGTCTGCAACTACCCGCATGGACCTAGCTCTCAAAACCATTGCTTCCTCCTCTTCCAAGCCTCCCTCTTCCAGTGCCCCCTAGGATCCTCTTAGTGGCCAATTATCTTTTGCTCTGATGATTTTGTGGTTGTTGTTTTTATTTTTGTTTGTCTTTTTGTGATGGCATGTTGGATTTCACCATGCTGCTCATGTTGAAACAGTCAAATTTCTTATCAATAAAACAACTCTTCTTTTTCTTGTATAATGCTTGTTTTCCCTTTTGCTTCTTTTTTCTTTCATGATTGTGTGCACATATGTGGCATGAGTTAGCTTTGTTTTACTTCTTTATGCCTTTTTGTCTGACTGTGTCTTTTTGTTGATGCCAAAAGGGGTAAGAATAGAGTCAATGGGAACATATGTCAGAAGGAAGAATAGAGTGAGGGGGAACATAATGCAGACATATGTCAGGATGAAGAATAGATCAGGGGGAACATATGCCAGGCGGAAGAATAGAGTTAGAGGGAACATAATGCAGACATATGTCAGGAGGAAGAATAGAGTCAGGGGGAACATATGTAGTTGTTGGTACCTTATCTGGTTAAGTCAAATAGTCATCAATGTTAAAAGTTTGTCATCATCAAAAAGGGAGAAATTGATGGGCTTAAGGTCTTTTAATCTATGTTTTGATGATCTAACAAAATTTCTGTATAGAACCCGATAAAAGACCAAGAACGATAGTAAAAAGTCAGGGGGAACATATGGGGAAACATGTGTAAGTAAGGGCATAAAGTCAGGGAGAACCTATGGTCTCCAGTTATTCAATCTGGTTCTCTGAACTCTAACTCCTCGTTTTCAATGCTAAGTTTGTCATCATCAAAAAGGGGAAAATTGATAGGTTTTCAATATCTTTGCCTTGTGTTTTGATGATCTAACAAACTTAATGTCAAAAACCAGATAGGGAACCTGACTCACTTGGATTACGCTGCATCTAACGGATTCCAGCCAAATGTGAACTTGCTACTGCTTCAGGAGGTAGGAACCCAAACAAAGACCTGATACTCTTGTGGGTTCCTCACGGCAGTACAAAGTCAATTGGACACAGCTGGAAATGAAGATTCTGCCGCACTGCAATATTTCCAGTGCCCACTCATTCTCTGATCAACTAAAGTACAATGATTCAAGTTACTCAACTCAAGACAATCTGGGCAGTGTGCACAAGTACCAGATCAGGAACCTAATCCCTTGGTGCTCCCCTGACAGAAGTACAAGTCAACTATACAGCTGGAACACAACTGCAGAAAATGATTGTCCGCAACTATACAAAGAGGAACACAATAGGGACCTGGTCCCTTAGGGTTCTCTAACAGAAGTACAAGTCAACTATATAGCTAGAACGCAACTGAGTGACTGTCCGCAACTGTACAAAGAGGAACACAACAAGGACCTGGTCCCTTAGAGTTCTCTGACAAAAGTACAAGTCAACTACAGCTGGAAAGCAATTGTAGAAAGTGACTGCCTGCAACAGTGCATCAGACAGTGCAACAGTCACTTCCCATTGAGATTGGACATCACTAAGGATGTCTTGTGTAGTATAAATCATATGCAAGGCATAAGATTCAGATTCAACACTTGCAGATACAGAAAATGAAAATTCTCCCAAGTGCTCAAGAACCTCTCTCAAGAACAAAGCTGCTGCAACCTCAAGGACCTGATCCAAGATTGATGATATCTTAAGTCCTTAGGGTTGTTGAGTCTTTGTTATGTGTTCTTCATTATAACTCCTATCAGGCTTTCTTAGAAGCATTGATTTGGAAACCTTTTTAAATCCGTAAACTCCCTGAGTGTATATTGTGGCTATGATTAGTCATGAGCAAAAGCCTTTGTAACCGTAGTGTGACAAAGTGGCTTGTGGTGGAAACATCACAAGTTAGACAAAGACTTTGTAACCGTAGTGTGACAAAGTGGCTTGTGGTGGAAATACCACAAGTTAGTCAAATTCTTTGTAACTAGGTTAGTTATAGAGTGGCTTGTGATGAGAGCATCACAAGTTAGTTGAAGTCTTTGCAATAGGGTTATTGTAAAGGGCTTGTAATAGGAAGATTACAAGTTAGTGAAGTTAAAAGTCTACAGGTGTAGGTCGTGGTTTTTTGATCCCCTTGTGTGGGATTTTTCCAAGTAAAAAAAATTCTCTGCCTTATTTACACTTAGCTTTACTAGCATTCACAACATAACCCGATAAAGGACCAGGTACTCTACTATTTGGTGGATTCACACAAACTTATCACTATACCAAACTAATATAGGACCAAATCGCTATACAGTTTGGTTCATCAGTATTTTCAGAGGAAATAGATAGAGAACCCGGTTCTCTATACAGTCTGGTGGACGCATAGAAATTAACAAATTTGTATCTATCATTTGGAGCAGAACCTAAAGCGAAAGAAAGTGAAAAGTGAGGTCATAAAACTTTTTCAAAGTGCTGCAAGAGTATACATGCGCAAAGGATTTGATCTATACATGTCAGATATAGCAAAAGTAGATAAGAAGACTTATGACTACTTGATGGAAGAACCACCGAAAATGTGGGCACGTTCTTGTAGTCCACGACAAAGATATGACATGCTCACAACAAACATAGTTGAGTCAATGAATTCTGTGCTATTAGAAGCAAGGGAGCTTCCTATATTAAGAATGATGACTTTCATCCAAGTGAAGCTACAACGTTGGTTTTATGAAAGAAGAAATGAAGCAGAAGGAAATTTTTATAACGTTTCTTGCTGGGTAGAAGAGGAATTAAAGAAAAAGATAGATTTAGCACTTACTTTGAATGTAAGTATTATGTTCTTTGTTTAGTTTATTATTTTAATGATAATTTAACATAATGTACTAACTTATAATTTTTTAACATTGAAGGTCTTCCCTGTTGACTCATGGCATTCTAGAGTTGAGGAAGAAGGAATTACTTTCTTGGTGGACTTAAACAAAAGAACATGTGATTGTTTTCAGTTTCAATTTGATGAATTACCATGCATACATGCAATTGCAGCTATCGAGAAGAGAAACATCAAGAAGTCCAACTTTTGCTCGCACTGGTACTTAAAGGAATCTTGGCTGAAAACATATGAAAGACAAATACATCCTGTAGGACAAACTGATTTTTGGATTGTACCGGAGAGTGTTAAGTCACAAATTATTAAACATCCAGATTACAAAGTGCCACCAGGTAGAAGGCAGAAGAAAAGGCATATTCCAGCTACCGAGTAATCAAAAATAACATTCAAATGTGGTCGTTACAGAAGAATTGGTCATAATAGAACAGCTTGTATATGTTCTCCGGCAGTCCATCCATTTTCAAGGAAGCATAGAGAATAGTAGATATATACACTTATGTTTATCTACTCTTTTACGTTTTTACTATAAATTGGATTCATTTAGATTATTTTTATTTGAGCAGATGTCCTGAATATTCAAAGTTTCTTTGCGCTTACATGCTTTTTGTTTCTTTTGAGTTCCAAGTTCAAAAGTTAAGGATAGGAAGTCCTTAACTTAGAGTTCCAAGTTCAAAAGTTAAGGACACTTGATCCTTAACTTAGAGTTCTAAGTTCAAAAGTTAAGGACACTTGGACCTGAACTTAGAGTTCCAAGTTCAAAAGTTAAGGATACTTGGTCCTTAACTTAGAGTTCCAAGTTCAAAAGTTAAGGACACTTGGTCCTAAACTTTGAATTCCAAGTTCAAAAGTTAAGGACACTTGGTCCTAAACTTCAAGTTCCAAGTTCAAAAGTTAAGGACACTTTGTCCTTAACTTTGAATTCCAAGTTCAAAAGTTAAGGACACTTGGTCCTGAACTTCAAGTTCCAAGTTCAAAAGTTAAGGACACTTGGTCCTGAACTTCAAGTTTCAAGTTCAAAAGTTAAGGACATCTGGTCCTGAACTTCAAGTTCAAGTTCAAAAATTAAGGATATCCGGTCCTGAATTTCGATTTCCAAGTTCAAAATGTAAGGACACTTGGTCCTTAACTAATACTTGCAAGCTCAATACACTTAATTTAGGGATTGCAAATGCACAAATCAATACTTGACAGAACAAAGAAATTAATAACTTGATGCCTTCATATTACTTCTGAAACTGTAATTTGGCATAGTTGTGACAAAAATTATGTTATGCAAACAAAATAAAAGTGCCTTGTTTACAACAATTTTATACAAAACATCAACAACAACTAACTTTCTTTACAACTAAACTACATCTCCTTTGGGCAGCAAGTTTCATTTTCACTATCATAGTCGTCGCCAACATTTTCTGGTGGTGTATCATAACCAGAATTTCTTTTCCACTCTCCATGTTCCCAAAGATTTGCTACAAGTTCTTTTCTAAAGTTTGTTATGTCTACAGGTTGGAATTTCTCTACATCATTTCCCATCATCAACAACTCCACATACTTGATTAGGAATACACCACAATCAGTCCTAAGAAAAATGTAAGATATGAAGTCAATTAAACAATATCTTTAATAAAATAAATCTAAAGTACATATAAATTATATAGAAAATGACAACATGTACGATCCAGTTTGGTGTGGTGATCTTTGCCACTAAATATCAAATTTGTTTAATGCATTTCCAAAAGACTTGTGATTTTTCTCAAACTGTGAGAACTTTAGCAAGTGGGGGATCATGCATGCATGCATTTCAATGTGCTTCATTCCTGCCTCATGTGGCTCACTATATATGGAATCGTACACATCAATCTTTTTCTCATTCAAGTCCAATACCCCCAAAAGAAAATATGTCACAGCATCATCATCTTCTGAAGGAAGCCGACATGGAAAAAAGATTTTGTCAACCTCAGTCCAAGCAATTCTACGACTGTCACCCCACACATCTGGTGTCAGAAACAATTGATTATCACCATACCAAAACTCATCTGTAGCATCTTCATTGAAATCTTTATATACAAGCACCATATAGTTATCAAAAAGTATATCTGTAGTTGTGCAACAAAAAGGATGGGCGCGAGGGTGGTAGCATTCCTTCTTTCTCAAATAATACAGGGCAATGTCAATATGCTTCATTAAAAACAAAAAAAACAAACAAATCCATCAGTCATAAATAATTAAAAAATAATAAATTAAGAATAAAGAAAATAAATGTCTTGCGAATTATCAAACTTTATCATCAAGTACAAATCTACTATTTGAAAGCTCAAGGAAGAACATTTTGCTACTGATTTTTGATGGTTCAATTTATATGGATTCTTTCTCACATCATTATTGTCAGCATATATGTCAGTTTTTCCCCTGAAAATTTTTTAAAATATTAAAGTTAGAAGTTAGTCCTCATTTTCTAATTAAGGACTCTAGTCCTAAACTTAGGCTAAGAAGTTCAAAAGTTAAGGACAATAGGTCCTGAACTTTGAGTTCCAAGATCAAAAGTTAAGGACAATAGGTCCTGAACTTCAAGTTTCAAGTTCAAAACTTAAGGACACATCAGTTTGACAAGTTCAAAAGTTAAGGACACTTGGTCCTGAACTTCGAGTTCCAAGTTCAAAAGTTAAGGGCAAAAGGTTCTGAACTTTGAATTCCAAGTTCAAAAGTTAAAGGACACTTGGTCCTTAACATTGAGTTCCAAGTTCAAAAGTTAAGAACACTTGGTCCTGAACTTACATTTACAAGTTCAAAAGTTAAGGACACTTGGTCTTGAACTTACATTTACAAGTTCAAAAGTTAAGGACGCTTGGTCCTGAACTTAGACTTGCAATCTCAAAAGTTAAGGACATTTAACTTTAGGAATTTAAAATTACAAGTTCAGGACATGAATTTAAGCAATTAACAAATAATGAAATACATTTAGGAGCTTACGCTTTTTTGCGACCTTTATTTTTCTCCTTGCCCAACTACCTAATGAATGTCTTCAATAAGTTTGCATCATCTATGGCATAATGAAAAATACATGTACGAGTATATTTTGATTTTATCCAGTCCGTATTCTTGGGAGTATTTTCATTGTGCGCCATCGATGTTCCTGTTTTTCTTTCCTGTTCAAAAGGAGATTTCAATTGCCAACTAAGCTTCTTATTCCTTTTCCCTTGACCAAGATCTTCTTCAACATTTCCTTCAACCTCTACAGACAAACACTCATTATTGCTCATTTGTGTAGTTGGAGGAGTAGGAGTAAGAATAGAAAATGATGGACCATCAAAACCAATACTATCTCTCTTCCTTTTCCTAGTATAATGGTTAGAGGCTTCATTTTTGTTTTGCTCTACAGACACCACTGTATACATTAGTTTGCTGCAATTCGTCAATTCTAGAACGAATTATCAAATGAAAAGACAAAAACTAAGGACATAATTTTTGAAATGTACTGGCAATTTTAATTATGGATATAATATTTAGGACACAATCAATACATGTGTTGTCTACCCTGCCTTCTTGTACTTCTTCAACAGACAACTGACCTGACATATTGGTTGCATTTTCTTCATCTTGCAACTGTGCATTTTCTTTATCTTGCAACTGTTCTCCATGATCTTCGATTGCAAGTTCACAAGATTTTGCAAAATATTTACAAGAGCTAACACAATTAGTACTTGTTACTAATCTTTGATTAAAACAAACATGTATAAAATTAAAAAAAAACTCTGTCTAACCTTTTGTAACTGTCAAGATCATGCCATTTAAATCATTATCTTCAGTAGCATTTTCTTGGCTTCCAAACTTCAAGCTACAAGTTCAAAAGTTAAGGACACTTGGTCCTAAACTTTAAGTTGCATGTTCAAAAGTTAAAGACACTTGGTCCTTAACTTTGAGTTCAAAGTTCAAAAGTTAAGGACACTTGGTCCTGAACTTCAAGTTTCAAATTCAAAAGTTCAGGACATGGTGTCCTTAACTTAGAATTACAAGCACTGAAATAACTGATATTACCTTGACGTCATTTCGAATCTTTTTTTCTGATACATCTATTTTTTAATTTATTCTAGTAACTTCTGCTTGCATATCCTTTTTAAACTTCTCCGATAATCTTTAAATCAAAAACCATAAAATAAAAAAGTCTCTTAAGCAAAAATAATCAAATAAAAAACTAATGCTATTCAAAGACAGAAAACCTACTTTAACGATTTCCTTAAGCAAGGCTTCATCACATTGTGTGGAGGAAGGCATTAAAATTTGATCTTGAGACAATGGCTCATGCACACTAACAGGCTCCGCATCTTCTTCAATAGGAATAAATGGTGTCACCTCGATCAACTTATACAACTATTATATAAGAAAAAAACGTAAGTATTTAGAACTAAAACACATAAACAAAAGAAATAGCTAGTAATCAGATTAACTTACATTTTCATTATGGAAGTATTTTTTACACAGAGAATCATATTGTGGAGATTTCATATCTGAATAACATAACATCCGAGGATACCCACATTCTGTAAAGTTCACAAATTGTTTTTCCTGGAAAATTGGGAATACTTCCATAATCCAAACACAAAAAGCGAAAGGAAAGCCAAGTTTAGTATAACTATCCTTGTCTTTATCTTTCTCTTTCTCTTTCTCATTCTCATCCTCATGGGGCTTCAAACAACTCTTCAATGATTTTACTAATGTTTCATAACAAAGAGAGCCCCAGTTGAAAGAAGAGAAGAGTTCATTGTCATCTACAATTTTCATTAGCTGCTCGGACACATTCTGATTCTTCCGCTTCCCCATCAAAACACATTCAACAAAATAAATTGTTGCCAACTTCGCCGCATCATCATCACTACCTACAAATAATGCAGTTGTACCATCTGCGTGACTAGTAAGAAAATTAAACAAATCACCTAACTTAATTCTATCTTTTCCAGGGAAGTAGACTTTCGAAAGCCTATTCTCTTTTTGACGCAAAACTGTGAAGTCCACTAAAGAAGAACATTTTAAACGAGTAACTATATGAAACGCATCACGTGTAAACAGTACTTCATGGTCAAAAACCTTGAATGTCATTGAATTAGGGTCATTGCTTACAATTTCTGAAAGCAACACACAATGAATAAGTTTAAAATAGAACTTCACACTTTATAATCGGAAAAAGTTTCCGAAAATACCATCCCTCAACTTCCTCTATTGCCTTTTTAACAAGAAACTTTTTATTGTTTCTTTATACTGTAAATCTCTTTTCCAATAGCTATTCGAATTACACCAAACATCAAACTCGAAAACACGATCTCCTTTCATTAGCACACTACAAAGAAGGAAAAACAACATAAAAATTAGGACTAAAATCGA